TTCTAACATGCAATTATCAAGCGAACTATCCAAGGTGAATTTACCCAGTCTTTTCTCTCTATACACCATCAATATATCAAAAGGGTTCCTTTTTTTTTTTTTTTAAAGGGTTCCAAATTTACATCTTTAGCCTGGATCACCGCCCATTCTAACTCCATTCTTATAAACCCAACTGCTTGTTTAACATTGCTCCCTGAATGTCTAATAAGCATCTCTAATTTAACGTGAACTTTTCTTTTTATCGCACTTCCATTCCATCCAACGTTTTTTTTTTTAAAGATTTTATCCATTTGACAGGGAGAGAGACAGCGAGAGAGGGAACACAAGCAGGGGGAGTGGGAGAGGGAGAAGCAGGCTTCCCGCAGAGTAGGGAGCCCGATGCAGGGCTCGATCCCAGGACCCTGGGATCATGACCTGAGCCGAAAACAGACGCGTAACAACTGAGCCACCCAGGCACCCCCCATTCCATCCAACATTTAATTCTATCAGCTCCAAGTTCAAAATATATCCAGAATCTAACCAGTCCTCACCAACCCCACCTCTTCTCCCAAGTCATCTTCTCAGCCTGGGTTTTACTGCAATAGCTTTTCAACACAGCTATCAGAGTGATACATTTAAAATGCAACTTAGTTTAGGTCTTTCCTCAGCTCACAATCTTTTTTTTTTTAAAGATTTTTATTTATTTGACAGAGAGAGACACAGCAAGAGAGGGAACACAAGCAGGGGGAGTGGGAGAGGGAGAAGCAGGCCTCCCGCTGAGCAGGGAGCCAGATGCGGGGCTCGATTCCAAGACCCTGGGATCATGACCTGAACAAAAGGCAGACGCTTAACGACTGAGCCACCCAGGCGCCCAGCTCACAATCTTTTAATGGCTCCTCATTACATAATAAAAGCCGAAGTCTTTATAATGGACCTGATTGTGTTTCCCACAACTTCTGTGATTTCACTATTTCTCCTTCCACTATCTCTGTAACTTGATGTACCCAGCCATATTGGTAGCCCTCCTCTAATAAACCAGGCATGTTCTGCCTTAGGGCCTTTGCGGGCTCACTGCCTGGAAAGTTTTCTCAAATATCCTCACTCCTTTGGATTGAAATTCAAATGTCATCTTATCAATTAAGTCTTCCCCAAATACCCTAAATAAAAATAGTATCCAACCCAATACTTTTTATACTCTTTATCCCTTTTCCTTTTCTCCAGAGTATATATTACCATCTGATATACTATATACTTGTTTATTGCCTATTTTCCCCACTAGATATAAGTTCTGTGAGAGCAGGGATTTTGTTTCAGGACTGTATCCCTAACCCTGAATAGGGTCTGATACAAAATGGGTCCATAATACACACTTGATGGTGAATGGTGGGGAGGAGCAGAGAGCGGGAGAAAGGAATCTTAAGCAGGCACCGCACCCAGAGTGGAGCCCGATGTGGGGCTCAATCTCCCAACCCTGAGATCATGACCTGAGCCAAAATCAAGTCAGGCACTTAACTGACTGAGCGACCCAGGTGCCCCTAAACATCCATTTTTAATTTACAAGCAAATTGGACCTTTACAATGTGCTAATTGACATGGAAAGGTCTGACATGACAGGGTTTGACAGGTTAGCAGGGGGGGCTATACACCATATACAATCATATACACATATATGTATATATATATGTTTGTATATGTGTATATGTATATGAATATATGTATGTATATGTGTATACACCATATACAACCAGTTGCTCCATCACTTAACAATCTAGTTTAGGAACTACAAGGAATTTAGTGATCCAAACCTCACAATTTTTTCTTCCCAGAGTACCATCATCAATTCTGTAGTCCTAATATCTTCATAACAAGAGCCATTAGCACCTTCTTTTGTATCCCCTGAAAAATATTTAAACTGGCATCACCTGCCCTATACATTCAAAACTAATTAGATAAAAGGCTGAAAGGAGCACCTGGGTGGCTCAGTCAGTTAAGCAACCAGCTCTTGGTTTCAGCTCAGGTCATGATCTCAGAGTCCTGAGATGTAGCCCTGCTACAGGCTTCCGGATCAGTACGCGCTTGAAATTCTTTCACTCTCCCTCCCCTTCTGCTCCCTGCCCCACCCCCGTTTATGCATGCGTGCATGCACATGCTCAGGCTCCCTCCCTCTCTCTCAAATAAATAAAATTTTCTTTAAAAGAAGGCTAAAAACAAAACTGTCTGAACTGACTAAATTGTACATACCGGGCTGTCTATAAAGTAAGTAATGGATTGATTACATGGTTTGTATTGTGTTAGCTGTGAACAGTATAAAGGGCCTTAAAACTATTAGAGTTCATATACTTCCTCCCTAGTCCTTATCCATCTCCTCCCCACCTCATCCCCCCACAATTACATAAGTACACAAAATTTTAAAAAAGGAAATGAATAACAATATAAGCCTGGCAGAAATCTGAAATCACTCCAGCCTCAAACTTTAAATCATTTGCCTAGAGAGAACAGCCCTCAGATGACTGTGACTCAGCATTTTATGGTGCTTGAGACATGAAATGAGATAAAGGTCTTGTTCCCTTCATGGCATTAGCTAAATATGGAGCTAAGATGAAAGAGCTACCTAAAAAACACAGTCTGGCTGAAATGTTACAGTGCTCACACTGACACAGATTTGACTCAATATGTAATGACAGGGAGGAGAGTATGTGCCAGTTGAAACACACAGAACTGTTCTGAAATAACTTGTTGACCTATAAAATTAGCAAATAACAATACTGATCACAATTAACACTCAGAAATGGAGAAAATATTATAAATAAATGAAAACAAAATTAAAATATGAACTATGGTGCTGGTTTAGAGACAGGTAAAAACTAACTTAGAGTTAAGTTATTCTTCACTAAAATATCTAAATATCTAAAAGTGAACCAAGTGAGGGCTTTTTTCCTCTTGTAAAAAAAAAAAAAAGAAAGAAAAAAAGTTGAGTAAAACTGAAACAGAAAAGTCCAGCTCTTTTTGACTCTTTATGAGCAGAAAGATAAAATAAGGTAAACTACATAAAGGTTGCAATAAAAGTTTTCAGTTCATATTCTCATGTGGAGCAGGAACTGATGAATGAAGAATAAAGCATGGTAACTGGCAAGCAGGGAGATCTGGAGAGCTGAGATCATGAAAAAGGACTGAGGGGCATTCCACATAGGCAATGGAGGAAGCTGGGGAATCCTGCTCAGGAAACCAGGTATTTTAAGGAATAAAAACAATGAATAAACATATGGCAACAGCCTATAGGCAAATGGGCAAAAACCAATTGCTAATTCTTGGCTTTAGCTCCTGTTCTAAGTATGTTATTGACTCTTTTAATTCTCAAAACAAGCCTATAACATAAATACTATTAAACCTAACTTTACATGTGAGAAAACAGCCTCAGAAAAATTAAGTAACTTGCTCAAGGTCACATTGTTAATAAATGGCAGATCCAGGCTACCAACCCACATGATCTAACTCTACCACAACTTTATACTGCTTTTTATGAATGTCTCAAAATGTGAAAAGGAAGTGGGGAAATTTAAATCACTGAGGACTTTACTGCATTCAAAACCAGACCTTGCAGGGTACAGAAGAATGAATTTCCCCTAAGTAATCTACAGCCTATTAACGGAGTTCAGACTCACACCGAAATACTATTCAAAATGCACATCAGAAACGACTAGGAGAGAGGCACAAGGGTAGTGGAAACTCAAATGAGAAAGTGGTGTTCACCAGGTTGTGGAATCAAGTAAGACTTCACGGATAGAACAGCATTTTTGATAGGATTTGAAGAAAAGGGAAGAGTTAGGTGGAAGGAGTACCATGACTTCCCATCAGTTACTCCCCAGGGTTTTCAGGATAAATTTCAAACTCCTTCGCATGGTACTCAAGGCCCTCCACAACTACGGCTGGAGGAAGGCCAAGGAAGAGAGATTATTTTGCGATGATTATGCTGGAGTCTTTACTACTAGTTCGGGTTCCAAAGGATCAGAACATCTTACTTTTCTGTCTCCATAAACCGTTAGTGAGTTGAAGGCAGGCACAATGGCTTTTTCTCTTGTAACCCTCCCCTCCCCCAGTCCAGGTAGTCACAGCACGTGGTGGGTGCACTGCAAACATTTTCTGAAATGAATGATGTCAATCAATGGGCATCAATCACCAGGTAACTCTGGTCCGGCCAGGCTACCTTATACCCTCTAGAGCTATGGTGTTGGCTAATTTTAAAGCTATCAAGTTAGAGACTTAAACACGTGATCCAGACACAACGGGTCGGCCTTAATTTGGACCCGGATGCCACAAACCAATTGTGAAAGGTCATTAAGGCAATAGTGATAATCCAAACATGGACAATGAATTAGATGAAGGACTCAATTTCATTAAATGTGATTATGCCTTAAAAAGGCATGTTAGGTATATACATTTATGAATAAAATGGTTTCCCTTAGAACAATGGAGATTAGGGAGTATGGGCGGGAGGAGATAAATGAAACAAAATCGGTAAGATGTAGCTGTTGTACTCTTCGGTGCAACATACTACTTTTGGTGAATGTTTAAAAAATTTCTTAATACAAAACACACAAGACAGAGACACAAAGACAGACACACACCCAGGTGCTGTTTTTCATCTTAAACCCCGAGGGAACCCGACGCAGGGGGTCCACCTGCGGCATCTCGGATTCGGAAGACGACCTCTGCGGGGCCTGCTTTTCTCGCCCGCCGGACTCGAAGCTAACCGAGCGGGTGGCCTCTTCATCCCCTCAGCACCCTCCATAAACGCCTTTCGCAGACAGCCGAATTCTTGGAAAGCGCGGGTCACAGCTGTCTCAGTTTCTACGCTGGACCCCGCCCCGGTGACTGGACCCTGAGGAGAAGCAAGCCTTCCGCCGGGTCCTTCACCACCACGACCCCCAACAGCCGGGGCCGAGGGCTCAGGGGCGGACTCCGCGCAGCGACGTCACGGCGCGCCGTGCGCCGGGTCAAAGTTCAGCCCCGCCCCTCTTCCCCCTCGCTGTCTTCCTCGGCCTGCGCTGCAGCCGACGCCGCTGTGGGCCTGGCTGCGCTCCGTCCGCTCCGTCGCCTTCTTACCTAAGCGCTGCCAGGCCGGCCGCCATGGCAAACGTGGCCGATACCAAGCTATACGACATCCTGGGCGTCCCGCCCGGCGCCAGCGAGAACGAGCTGAAGAAGGTAGTGGGGAGCGGGATGGCCGGGCAGGGTGTGAGGGGCGCGGGCCTGCTCGGCTGAAGCGGCCAGGCCGCGCTACGGGGCTGCCCACGAGCCGGAGCCGGACGTGGCGGGCTCAGGCTGGGGGGCGGCGGCGGCAGCGAGACCGGCCTCGGCTGACCTTGGGCCGTCGGCCCCGCCTGCCCACAGATGCAGCAAATAAAACCCACCCCTGCGCAAACACGGCGAGAACGCTTCCTTCCTCCCTCCCCCGGCGGGCGCCGGAGGCCGGGCGCTGCCGGGAGGCTGCAGCCTGCGCGGCCCTCCCCGCGCGGAGGTCATCACCCTGGAAAAACAGGTTGGACAGAGGCGCGCAGCGCATCCCGACCTCGGGGGAGAAATTGTCCACGCCGCGGTCGTCGGCTTCGGAGCCGAGTCCGGGCTGGGTCTGGGGCCTGGCGGGAGGGTTGAGGCCGCCCCCGCCGGCGCCTCCGGGCAGTTGGGGATGTTTCCTGGGTGCCGCAGCCGCAGGAGCACCTCCCACTCTTCCTCCTTCGCCCACCGCCCCGTGGCTCTCTGTTTGGGTGTATTGTTCTGTGGGCAGGTAACCTAGATGTTTCTGTACTCGGTTCAGGAATAAGCGGTGGGTACCAGCCAAACACCTGAGTGTACACTAAAAATAAATATAAGGTCTTATTGCTGTCTGCAATGCTGCGAATCTTTGATCTCAGGATTTCAGAGCACTTGCGGCATTTGAGCCCTACTCGGTCTTCACCGAGCTTAGAGTATCCAAATTTGTAAGCTGAGAAAAAATGAGACTGCTCCTTAGGCATCGGGACGGGTAGAGTTGAGAGTAAAATGGACTTCCTGTTACCTTACCGGAAATGCTAGTCTGTATTATATAATTCATGTGTCTGTGAATAAAGACTTAAGTGTTGTATATTCTAGCCACATAAATGTATGCAACTTCGGGAAGACTGAAGTTACTCCAGTTAATTAATACCCTAATTAATCCGCCATATGAAAAAATAAAAGGAGCTTCTCTTGATGTTTCAATTAGAGGGAAGGCAGGAGCCATCCTCCCTGAGCAGAGGTTCTTACCTTAGCTTAATTTTTAGTTAAAATGTTTTGCAGTTTTAACAAACTTAACGATCATTTCTTTAGCGTTTATTAGAGTCTTCTTGGTCTGGTTACTGGCCATCAAAGACATTTGACAATAGTGAAAATATGAAATTTCGATATTTTGTTTTTCGTTAGTGAGTAAACAGTATTGAGGTGGATAAATTAGTAAACAATATTGAGATATTTTCTCAGCCTAATGAATCCAGTTTGTCAGTCTCAATGAATAAAAGATGTTTTTGGAAGGTTGTGATTTTAAAACATTGCTTCTCAGAAAAATGGGTATTTAGTACTCATAAATCTTTAAATCAGATTTTGTATGTAACCTTTTTTTTTTTAATTTTCTTTTTTATTGAAGGCATACAGAAAGTTAGCCAAGGAATACCATCCTGATAAGAATCCAAATGCTGGTGACAAAGTAAGTTATGTGAGACTTTTCCCCATGAGGTTTCAATTTTAAATTGCCCTGCTTGAAAAAAGGAATGTTGTCAAGAAAAGTCCCATCTCTTACCATAGAGCCAAATTTTTACATGAAGAGTATTTTGGTTTTGTAATGGGAATGCTAACATTCCTGGCAGTGGTAGGTGGGAGATAGGACCAGAATCAAACCAAAGGTAATTTATAGCTTTTGTTAGAATAATTGGATTCCAGATTCCTGTGGCCTTTGCCCCACTCCTCTACTTGAAAATTCAGTTGTGGGCGCCTGGGTGGCTCTGTTGGTTAAGCGAGTGTCTTCAGCTCAGGTCATGATCCTGGAGTCCCTGGATCGAGTCCCGCATCGGGCTCCCTGCCGAGCAGGGAGTCTGCTTCTTCCTCTGACCCTCCCCCCTCTCATGTGCTCTCTCTCTCTCATTCTAAAAAAATAAGTAAAGTGATTGAGATTAAAAAAAAAATCCAGTTGTTTTCCTTGTTACTTTTTTTTCTTTTATAGTTCAAAGAAATCAGTTTTGCCTATGAAGTACTGTCAAATCCTGAGAAGCGTGAATTATATGACAGATATGGAGAACAAGGTCTTCGGGAAGGTAGCGGTGGAGGTGGTGGCATGGATGATATTTTCTCTCACATTTTTGGTGGGGGATTGTTCGGCTTCATGGGCAATCAGAGTAGAAGTCGAAATGGCAGAAGAAGAGGAGAAGACATGATGCATCCACTTAAGTGAATATCTTTTTTTCTTTTTTAAAAAAATATTTACTATTTTTTCAAGTAGTAATGCTTAGTAAAGATAAAGATACCAAAAACATCCTATTGTCAGAAAAAAAATCTTCCATTTCCTTACTGTCCTCATTGGGTGACTAAATTAAATTTGATACCCTGGGTGTTTGTATTTGGTATAGATCTTAAAGGATGTTTGATATTTCTACAGAGGAGGCAGATGGTTTTGCTGTATTGGTCTGAAGCCACTTGTTACTATGTGATTTAAAACTACAATTATGAAGATTTTCTTTTTAAGTATTTAAATTTTCCAAGTTTTTATTTAAAAACTTAACACAGTGAGTGACTCTGACTAGTTTGTTTACATGTTACAGTCACTCATTACTTGATCCTCCATGTGAACTCTCCTAAATTGGTTTCCATGGAGCTTGCTGGCTTCTAGCCTGACATTAAACTGCCAACATATGAATGGTGTCTGACCTTGGTCTTAGACTGTGAGCCCATGAGCCCTCTACAATATGAAAATAGCTATTTTATTTTGCAAAGTTTGTGAGGTCTTTTATCCTCTTTTCATGAACCAATAATGGTTTTACTAGCAAATGCCATAGACTTTCAAGTGTTTATTTAAAATATTTCATATTACCTAGTTTATATGTTTGAGTAGATTAGAGGAAGTGTAAACTTCTACATTGTTTGGATCTCATTCTTAAATTTGTATTTTAAAAGAATTTATCCTCAGAAATTATCATTTGGATGTTATTCCAAGTGTAGTAGTTGTACCGTGTGATTAGTTCTTTTTTTCTTTGATACAAAAGTGATTTAAGAAGTAAATAAGATCAAGAAAGTACTTGCTGTATCTTAATAAATTCTTAATAGTCACTTTAAAATTTTTTTCATTGTATACGGTAAATGCTATTTTCTTTTAACATTATTTAAAATTTATAAAATTTCATTTTGGGTGTCTTTATAATATTCAATTCCATGATTTATTCAAGCATTCACCTTTTCTAGAGGATTGCCAATTTTTTTCTGTAATAAGTAGCTGCTTTGAGTATCTTTATATACAGCTTTGTCTTTTCTTGGCAGAGATTCCCAGGCAGGCATCAGTGTTTTGAGGCTGATAAATACAACTAAATTGCCTTGTAAAGGATTGTGCCAGTTTAGCACCATTGGTGGAGAGTGCCAGCTTGGCCAGACCATTACCCACATTTTTCCTTCATTGGCCATGTTTGTTGAAGTGTGTGTTTTTCTGGCCTCTTAGGTAGTGGTTTTGCATACTAAGTGTAATTTAATATGTAAGGAGGAAAAGATCTACCTCTTTGTTTTCTGTAGATGATTTGGTTAAAGATTGTTATGAGTATAAAAGACAGATACAGCCAGTTGCTTTTGTCTGATTAAGCTGTAGTTATGTTATTATTTGAAAGTGTTGCTAATGTTTTGTCCATCAGTGTTTTATACTGCCTGGAACATATAAATTTAAGCTTGAAATAATGATTTGGGGAAAGTTTGAATACCACAAAATAAATAGTATAGGTGTTTTGCAAAATACTTTTAGCAATTGTTCCTCTATTTTAAAGTAAATCTTCACTGCTAAAGGAGTTTTAAAAACACAGTGAGAAGGGTAAAAGCATTCAAAGCATTGCTTTCAGATCCTAAATGAATAGTATTTTTGAGACTTGATATACATAGATTTTTTTGAGGTTAGTTTGGAAATGAATGGTCCTGTAATTCAGATATGCTATATAAAAGTGAATTGGGTTTTATCAATTAGGCATTTTTAATAGGCTTTTAAACTGTCTTTTTTTTTTTTGATCATAGACCCCTTTGGAAATTTGGTAAAAGTTCAAATACATAGTTTTGATTATAAGTCAGTGGGTCCTTAAGACCTATTAAACTTCTAGGCTCCGTGTTGAAAACCTTTCCCTCCTCTCTGTCACACTGCTGATAAGGTGACTTTTGTTTTGTTTTTGAGACATACGCTATCTAAGTTGCATATAACTCCCATAAGTTGTAATATAACTTTGTCACCTTTCTAAAAATTGTCCTTGGGGGGAGCAAAGCCTTTAGAAGAGCATGGACTCTGGAACTAAGCTGCCTATGTGATCAAGTAAGGCAAGCTAACCTGTCTGTTCAGTTTTGTCTTGTAAAATGAAGATAATTGTACCTCATTCAGAGGATTGGATTAGATGGAGGGCGCTCCTGCCTGAGGCCAGAAGGTTGTGGTGCTTGAGATTGTTCAGTTATCAGCTCTGTCAGAATATGTAGCATAACAAATTGTTAGCCTGATCCTATAGGTTGTGGCTTTGAGCACCATAGATACTGTCCGTAATCATAAAAGTCTTCTGCTAATTTGAGCCACAAAATAAAACTTCAATCAGTTGACTTAATTAATGTAAGATGATTTTGAATTCTTTAAAAGGTTATAGTGGAATTTGCTGTATCAGCGGTCATTTATATTTTGTATTTAGAACTTGGCAAAATTTGATTGGACCTAATTCTTTTCTCCCCAGAGTGTCTTTAGAAGATCTGTATAATGGCAAGACAACCAAACTACAACTTAGCAAGAATGTACTCTGTAGTGCATGCAGTGGGTAAGTGTGTGTTCAGGTTTATGAAATAAATTTCCATCTGTTCTTTCAGTGGCACATTTAGTCTATACCAGGTAAAAATTGTTCATGATTTAAACTACCCAGCACAGAACATTTTCTGATACATTTGAAAGTTTAAATACTAGTCATTGGGGGTTGAAGATGAAGGTGAAAAGCACATTTCCTGTTTGTCATGGCCAATGGAATGGTCCTTGGGCAAAAATCTAATTTATATATTTGCTTGCTTTAGCCAAGGTGGAAAGTCTGGAGCTGTTCAGAAGTGTAGTGCTTGTCGGGGTCGAGGTGTACGCATCATGATCAGACAGCTGGCTCCAGGAATGGTACAACAGATGCAGTCTGTGTGTTCTGACTGTAATGGAGAAGGTATGCATGCCAGTACTTCCCTGCTTTTATGTTGAAATGGATTGGAAATGCAAGAATTGGAGAGGCTTACAATTTTTTTTTTAACATGTGTTTGTATTCATCTTATTAAAGAAAAATACAGGGTTCTAAAAGAAGAATGTGAAAATAATTATTCTATTATGCATAGGCCCAATGAACACAGACAGTAAATTTGTATTATGTTCAGTGAAATGTTAGTCTTTAGTTCCAAAAGGATGGGCAGAGTCGTTGTCCCTTTATATTTTTAAAGGTCATATTTGTTAAAGAGGGAGACAGCAAATTGTTTAGTTATCATTCTGATAAGTGGAGGATTTTACTGTAAGCTTTAGCTAGCTTTTAAGGATAGATAAGGGGAATTGAAGCTCTTCTCACAGAAGTAAATACTTTAGGTTTTGAATGACTTTGAAATACTTAGGCTCAGAGTGATTTCTGAAACTACTACCTCTGTCCTTGTAGTGCTTTTTAGCCATAGACAGTGTATAACCAAATGGGCATGACTGACTTCCAGTTAAACATTTCTTAGAAAAACAAGGGCGGCATACCCAATTTGGCCTGTGGGTTTTAGTTTACCAGACCCTGTTCTAGAGCAGTGCCATCTAGTAAAATTTTTCTACAATGGTGGAAATGTTCTATATATGCAATGTCAAGTATGGTCACCACTGGCCGCCTGTGACTATTCAGTACATGAAATGTAGCTAGTGTGACTGAGGAACTGAATTTTTAATTTTAATTAATTTAAACTTTAAATAGTCACAGATGGCTGGTGGCTTCCATTTTGGACAGCACAGTTCTAGAGCATCTTTTTCCAAATTACTCCAGGAAGTGGTGAAATAATGGAGAAACTGCGTATTTTATTCCCCTCCTGGAAAGTCTCAGTGCACTTTACCTTATTAAAGCCTCTTAACAGTTCCTGCTATCAAGAAACCAAAGATTACTGAAATCTTTACCCATGTGCCATTCCATTATGAGGAACTGGTGTTTTGCAGAACATACTTTTTGAAAGCAGTGTTCTAGGAATAATCCCTGAAGTCATTAATAATACATGTTACCTAAGCATTAAAGTGTGCCAATAATCAGCCAGTAGAAATCAATGCTATTTTTTCACATGTAGAGCTTCAGTTTTACTTTATTATAACACTAATTAAATGTTTCAGAAGAACACATAGAAAAGAAGTTGTGTTGTCCTAAACGTGGTATGGGGGTACTCAGTGTCAGCTAAAATTTAGCCATTTCTTAATTGGTTTTGGAAGTTTCTCAGTGATAGCGTACCTAAATAAAAGGAAGATCCGTAATAGGACATCTGAGCAGAGGTTAGTCTAGGAAATAAATAAAATCTCCTACCAACTATACAATGTAATAATGAGCCATAAAAGATATTTAAGTTTTTATTTGGGTTGTCTCTGTCAGCAGAGTTAAACTTACATTGAAACTAAGCCTCAAAACAAAAAAGGAAGTAGCATTTGTAGAAGCTTCAGCATTTGACCACCCATTTTTTTCCTTGAGCCTTAGGCTTTGTTTCAACTTTAGGAAATAAGAGTCAGGAGCCAAGAGAGTAATGTTTGATATATTACATTTCTCATACATTTCTTCTCTGAAATAGAGGGAACCAGGTAGCTGGGTCCTTCAGGTAACCTGTAGTAAGATGTGAGTTTCTGTTATTAAGAATGATAATTTAAACAAAACTTTAGGGGCACCTGGGTGGCTCAGATTGTTAAGCGTCTGCCTTTGGCTCAGGTCATGATCCCAGGGTCCTGGGATTGAGCCCCACGTCGGGCTCCTGGCTCGGTGGGGAGCCTGCTTTTCCCTCTCCCTCTGCCTCTCCCCCTGCTCGTGCTCTCTCTCTCCCTGTGTCTCAAATGAATAAATAAAATCTTTAAAAAAATATATAAAATAAACAAAAATAAAACTTTAGCAATTAAATGCAGAACATTTATTTAATGAATAAAAACATTATTAAGACGTATCTTAAGAGTGCAATGTAGTACTCTTGCTGGAAGTTCTAATGTTCTCTCTTTCTAGGAGAGGTAATTAATGAAAAGGACCGTTGTAAAAAATGTGAGGGGAAGAAGGTGATTAAAGAAGTCAAGATTCTTGAAGTCCACGTAGACAAAGGCATGAAACATGGACAGAGAATTACATTCACTGGGGAAGCAGATCAGGCCCCAGGAGTGGAACCAGGAGACATTGTTCTTTTGCTACAAGAGAAGGAACATGAGGTAATTTCCTTTTTGTTTGTTTGATTTTTGTTTTATTCAGAAATGGGTCTTATGGTCAAGATACAGGTTAGATCTTTTTGGCTTCTCTGGAACAACACTGAACATAAATGAAGTTAAGTGGTTGGGCTGAGTTTATAAGAACTGACTTGCTTAGTAGACCAACAAGGCAGGTGCTTTCAGAAGCACTGAAAAGGAGTCAGTTTTGGTTCCAGCTCAGCCATTGATTAGCACTATAATCTTAAGTAATCCTGTTGTGGTTATACCCCAGTTTCCTTGTATGAAAATAAGGGCATTGGGGCGCCTGAGTGACATTAAGCATCTGCCTTCAGCTCAGGTCATGATCCCAGGGTCCTGGGATCGAGCCCCACATCAGGCTCCCTGCTCAGCGGGAAGTCTGCTTCTCCCTCTCCCACTCCCCGTGCTTGTGTTCCCTCTCTCACTGTCTCTCTCTCTCTAATAAATAAAATCTTGAAAAGGGCATTGGACCAGATTATCTAAGGCAGCTTATTTTTCATTGTGAAACTCCTTTGATAGGGGATGAGATGGGGCTTCAGTCTTCAGTGCTGCTCTCTTGATTAGTTTTTACATATTGGGTTAACCATGTGAGCTTTTCTTAAAAGGTCCTGCAGTTTAAGAAAAATTATTTTGGGGGCACCTGGGTGACTCAGTTGGTTAAGCATCTGCCTTGCACTCAGGTCATGATCTTGGGGTCCTGGGATCGAGCCCGAATCAGCCTTCCTGCTCAGTTGAGAGTCTGCTTCTCCCTCTCCCTCTGCCCCTGCTTGTGCTCAAATGGGCATGTTCTCTCTCTCAAATAAATAAAATCTTAAAAAAAATTATTATTTTGGATATATATTGTATGTTATATACAAGGCATAATTAACTGGTCCAACGATCTGATCTAGTGTATATTATTTTGATGATACCATTGCACGTGTTTTTTTTTTTTAAGATTTTATTTATTTGACCAAGCAAGAGAGCACAAGCAGGGGGAGCAGCAAAGGGAGAGGGAGAAGCAGGTTCCTTGCTGAGTAGGGAGCCTGATGCGGGACTCGATCCCAGGATCCCGGGATCGTGACCTGAGCCGAAGGCAGACAGTTTACCGAATGAGCCACCCAGGTGCCCCCGCACATCTATTTTTTAATGTGCTATAGAGTATACTGTGGGCCTTTATTCTTGAAGACTGGAGCTATTCAGGAAACTTCTTTAGTAATCACCCAGATTCTGACTTTTGACAGGGTTCTCTTCTGGCATTATACTTGACCACATTGACTTGAGTTTCTCTGAAGATCCTTACATCACAAGTCAACCACCTTTTCAGTTTGTACTAAAATTTTCTCTTTTGATGGTGATTTCTACAAATAAAGTAAATTTTGAAAATCACTTAAAGAATCTGATAGAGTAAAGCCATATTGAGATGTAGATTCTGGGAATTAGATTCGTTAGATTAATTCTCTAACTAGATTGTGGCTTGCTCTCCTATACTAACCTTTCTCAGGATAAATTCCTTACTTAGCAAAGCTATAAATTACTATATATATATCTAGGCTCTTTGTGGATATTGCCAAACCTACAAAGAGCAAGGGCTTGCTAAAAAATAGTAATTCCTAGAATTCTGCCTTAGGGTCTTACAGGTTGAAATATTTGTAACTCTTTTGTTTTCCCCCAAAGATTAATTTATTTATTTGAGAAAGAGAGGTAGGGGAGGGACAGAGGGAAAGAGAATCTCAAGCAGACTCCACACTCAGTGCAGAGCCCAACATGGGGCTTGATCTCACAACTCTGAGATCAGGACCTGAGCCGAAAGCAAGAGTGTGGACGCTCAACTGACTGAGCCGCCCAGGAGCCCGGAAAAGAGCTGTAACTCTTTTAAAAGAGTCTCTGTTAACTGGCATTGTAGCCATTTCTTCATTTGTTCAATCATGCCTTTCATGCACAACACCATGTAACAAGGCAGAAAGGCAGAAAGATAGCCAGATAATTGAGATGTTTATAATATGCTTGGGTATAAACTGTATTGTAAGATGGTACAGACAACATGTGGATATTTTCATTGATCTATCATTGGAATAGTTTGAGGACAGTTACCAAATCATGTGTAGCATGCAGCAGCAGGAGGGTAATGGAGAAGTTAAGTAACGTTTATTTGGAGGAGAGTTTTTGGTATGTCAGACTGGTGGTGAAACCTTTTTTTATCCTACATTCAGTCTTTAGTGTTGCTACATAATTAAGTTAGGATTTTTATTTTTATTTTTTTATTTTTTTTAAGATTTTATTTATTTTATTTGAGAGAGAGAATGAGAGAGAGAGAGCACATGAGAGGGGGGAGGGTCAGAGGGAGAAGCAGACTCCCTGCTGAGCAGGGAGCCCAATGTGGGACTCGATCCCGGGACTCCAGGATCATGACCTGAGCCGAAGGCAGTCGCTTAACCAACTGAGCCACCCAGGTGCCCTATTTTTTATTTTTTTTAAAGATTTTATTTATTTATTTGAGAGAGAGAGAATGAGAAATAGAAAGCACGAGAGGGAAGAAGCAGACTCCCCGCCGAGCAGGGAGCGCGATGCGGGACTCAATCCCGGGACTCCAGGATCATGACCTCAGCCGAAGGCAGTCGCTTAACCAACTGAGCCACCCAGGCGCCCTTAAGTCAGGATTTTTAAAACACAGATTACTGGATTTGGAGACAAGGATTTAAGTTCTGAGTCCCCATTTACTACTAGCTTTGGGCTCCATGGGCTTGGCTTGGCTTTCTAAATACAAAGGTAGTCCTCCCTCAAGGATATTGTAGAATCAGATGAGATCATGAATAAACTGCTTTTCTTTCTTGGGGCTGTGGGGAGGCGTTTGGAAGAAGGTCACCTCTTAAAATTGTTGGAAGTGGTGGAATTGCATGGAATTTCCAACAGACAGCAGATGTAACTGTCTAAAGTAGAAAATAGGAGATGTTAGAGGTTAGAGTGGAAGTTCAGCTGGTGAGAGGTCGAAGGATGTTACTTCATGGTTTTACTATGACCAGTAAAGTAAATTGGAGCCCGAGATTTAGGCGTTTAATTAATACCACTGAAAATATTAACTTTTTTTTTTTAAGGATTTATTTATTTCAGAGTGGGGAGGGAGGGCGAGAGAATCTCTGTAAGCAGATTCCTTGGTGAGCGCAGAGCCAGGATGCAGGCCGATGCCATGACTCTGGGATCATGACCTTAGCTTAGCCAAAATCGAAACCAAGAGTCGGACGCTCAACCGACTGAGCCACCCAGGCACCCTGAAAATCTTCCAAGAAAATTGGCTAGTCTCAACTAGTTCATGAAAAAGCTTGTAATTTTGTTTGGGGCTTTTTTTTTTACTCCCAACATTTGTGCTGAAGGAATTGTCAGGCCATGAGATTAGGGTGGGTGCTATAGCTGAAACATAAATCTCTCTCTCTCTCTTTTTTTTTTAATATTTATTTATTTGACAGAGACAGCGAGAGAGGGAACACAAGCAGGGGGAGTGGGAGAGGGAGAAATAGGCTCCCCACCGAGCAGGGAGCCCGATACGGGACTTGATCCCAGGACTCTGGGATCATGACCTGAGCTGAAGGCAGGCATTTATCGACTGAGCCACCCAGGCGCCCCACATATAAATCTTCTGATCAAAAAATATTTTGATTTTGAGAGTGCTTTATATCATGTGTATTCATCTTTCAGTACAGGTGTATGCCTGTTTTGGTGATAATGGCTACAATTGTGCATTTGCACAGCAAAGAACCACAGTATCTGGTGATGTTAGTCACTTCTCTGTGTTCTGTACTTTGTTTTCCAGAAATTATTGCCACTTTAATCTTTTACTGTCTGGTTCTTGGTAGTCCCTTCTCATTAACCTGGTTTTTCAAAAATTCCCTGAATGTCCTTGTTTATTCTCTGTTCAAACTTTAATATCAAATTTTCTAGCCTAGTCACCCCTCCACCAGTTCCCTGCCCCCCAAAACAACCCTGATATCATCTTCAGTTGGAATCACTTTAAGTTGAGCTCCCTTCCAAGAACATGATGCCTCTTGTTCCCTACTTCCGATGTAGCTTTAACCAAAGGATATTTGGTTATAGATGGTTCCTGGAACAATAATGTTATAAGATGTTCACAAACACTAGCATTTTACAGTTATAAAAACATTTAAACATCCTGTGTTAAAGAATCCTTATTGAATTTAATTTTTCCACCCACTGTGAGAAACACTTGAGTAAATACACATAAGTAATATATATTTTGTGGTTCCCAACTTCAGCATACATTAGAATCACTTGCTATTAAAACTACAGATTGCCGGGCCCCACCTCCGTGGTTTCTGATGAGTAGGTATGGGCTGTGGCCCAAGAATGTGCATTCCTAACAAGTTTCCTGGTGCTGCTGAGGCTGCTGGTCCAGGACCATATCAAGATAATGGTTTGAGATTAACTTTCCTTCATGGGTAAATTTAGGAGGATAATTTGGGAAAAGAGGGTATCTTTCAGATTTTCACTTTTCCCTAACTAAACTGGCCAGGATTATTCTTTCTTTTTCTTTTTTTATTCTTTTTTATTTAAATTCAATTCAGTTAACTTACACTGTATTATTAGTTTCAGGGGTAGAATTCAGTGATTCATCAGTTGCTTTTTTTTTTAAGATTTTATTTAGACAGAGACACAGCGAGAGAGGGAACACAAGCAGAGGGAGTGGGAGAGGGAGAAGCAGGCTTCCCGCCGAGCAGGGAGCCCGCATCCCAGGACCCTGGGACCATGACCTGAGCCGAAGGCAGACACTTAACGACTGAGCCACCCATGCGCCCCTCATCAGTTGCATATAGCACCCAGTGCTCATTACATCAAGTGCTCTCCTTAATGCCCATCACCCAATTATCCCATCTCCCCTCCAGCAGTCTTCTTCCCTTTTGTTGAGTCTCTTATGGTTTGCCTCCCTCTCTGTTTTTGTCTTATTTTTCCTTCCTTTCCCCTATGTTCATCTGTTTTGTTCTTGGAGGAGAGACTATTTTGTATTGAAAAAAATCTAGGTGACCTTTCATTGGAATTTTGTTTCATCTTAAATTTCAAAAGCTAAGTATAGATATTTGTAAATTCTAATAAGTAAAAGTTATAAGTCAGGTGTGTGTGAAATTGGATGTATTTTTCCTACACGTTGAAAGCTCAGAAATATACTTGATGTTTATTGAATAATCTTTGCATTACCTAAGCCATAGACTAATACTGTAATTAGTCACTGTTGGCACTGCTGTTTGATTTATATTCATCTAACCAAATTTTGAATTTTAGGTGAGGTAATACTTGTACATGTGTAAAGCATGATATTGAGCCCATTTATGTTGAACTTGGGCTCTCCCCTTCCCCTGTTATAGTCATGTCTGGGGAGCACTTCCAAGATGAACCTCTTCTACAGAATCCTGCTGGACTGTCCACCTTTTTTTGCACAGAGGCAGGGTCAGGAAATGAGCCACAATTGCAGAATATCCCTGGTTCTTTTTTTTTGGAGCCTCAGCTATGCTTTATTAGAGCCAGTTTTCTCAATTCCAGTGCTTTCCTTTTCTTTCTTTCTTTCTTTTTTTTTTTTTTAAGATTTTATTTAATTATTAGAGAGAGAGCACGCACCAGCAGGGGGAAGGGCAGAAGGAGAGGGAGAAGCAGACTCCCCACTGAGCAGGGAGCCCAATTCAGGGCTTGATCCCAGGACTCTGGGATCAGGACCCAAGCCGAAGGCAGATGCTTAACCAACTGAGCCACCCAGGCGCCCCTCCAATGCTTTTCTGATAGATGTTTCTAGGATATTACATGAGAATAGCTAGGTTTCTTTATATAAATTTAGGGAATTAGGGATGATGACAGTTTGGCTTTTACAATGAATGGTAGAATTAAGGTTTTGAAATCATTTCAAGGAACACAGCACAACAGGGTATGGCTTCATTTTTTTTTTTTAATGTGTTTTGTGTGCTTTATTTGTAGGTGTTCCAGAGAGATGGGAATGACTTGCACATGACATATAAGATAGGACTTGTTGAAGCTCTATGTGGATTTCAGTTCACATTTAAGCACCTTGATGGACGTCAGATTGTGGTGAAATACCCCCCCGGAAAAGTAATTGAACCAGGTAAATCTTGATTTTTGTCTAATCCAGGATTCCATGTGGTTTTGTTTTTGTTTTGTTTTTTCAGTTTGTAATTTTTTTATAGTAGGTGACTCTCAAAAGAATTAGCACCTTTCTTCTTGGGTAAAATTCTAATAGTTTCCTTTTTACTTACTCAAATAATAGGATGTGTCCGTGTAGTTCGAGGGGAAGGAATGCCGCAGTATCGTAATCCCTTTGAAAAAGGTGATCTGTACATAAAGTTTGATGTGCAGTTTCCTGAAAACAACTGGATCAACCCAGACAAGCTTTCTGTAAGTGTTCTCTCAAATATAAGCAACAAATTACTTAAAGTTTAACAATGAGGTGTTTGTCACCTTTGATTTGTTTTTGGTGCTAAGATTTTTTAACATTTGAGTGATTGTTGGGCCGTCCTAGTGATTATTAAAAGAAAAGCTTGGTGTGCTTGCGTGGCTCAGTTGCTTAAGCATCCAACTGTATTTCAAGCCCCATTTCAGGCTTCTCGCTGGATATGGAACCTGCTTCAGGTTCTCTCTCTACCTCTCCCCCCACCCACACTCTTTCTCTCTCTCTTAAAAAACAAAACAACTGGAGACAAACCATGAGAGATGATGGACTCTGAAAAACAAACTGAGGGTTCTAGAGGGGAAGGGGGTGGGGGGATGGGTTAGCCTGGTGATGGGTATTAAAGAGGGCACGTTCTGCGTGGAGCACTGGGTGTTATACGCAAACAATGAATCATGGAACACTACATCAAAAACTAATTATGTATGGTGATTAACATAACAAAAAATTTAAAGAGAAAAAACAAAACAACAACAACAACAACAAATCTTGCTAGTGTAAATGTTGATGGTGCCAAGCAGGCAATAGTAAAGAATTAAAGCAGACTGGATGTAAGTTGGTGGTGGGAGGATTGGGACTCCCTGGACACCAGATCCCTCACCTGAAGAGGCAGCCTTTCAGCTTAGCATTAGTCCTTCCATGCAGGAAGGCATGTCTTCTGTAAAATTTTCCAGCGTTTAAATGTTGGCAGCTACTTCTGGTTTTTTGTTTTCTAAGCAGCAGTTGAGTTGTACAAAAGATGTCTGCATATTTGATATGTGGGTCATTAGTTTGTGATCTCTGGCTTAAAGTGCACTAGATTTACCTATTTTAACTCTCAAAGAAGCATATACCTTGGATTGTATCCAAAGGGAAGTTGAAGATAGCTCGCAAACTAACCTTTTTATTTTGTTTCGATTTTCATGAAGGAGCTAGAAGATCTTCTGCCATCTAGACCAGAAGTTCCAAACATAACTGGAAACACAGAGGAGGTAGAGCTTCAAGAATTTGATAGCACTCGGGGCTCGGGAGGTGGTCAGAGGCATGAAGCCTATAACGATAGCTCTGATGAAGAAAGCAGCAGCCATCATGGGCCAGGAGTGCAATGTGCCCATCAGTAAACTCTGCAGACAGATTGCACAGGTGGATTTTCTTTCCACGTTTGCCCGGTTTGCTTTCAGCGATCCAGCTGGAGTGTCTGGTCAGTCCAGGTGAACTGATGGACATCTGTTGGTCTATGTGTAACTTTGAAAATTGGTATAGTATCTACAGAGTGTATAATTTAAACTAACCACAAAGCTTTACATCTTCATTTTGACTGTTCTGTAGCAGAATAAAGCACTTGAAAGGAAACAAGACTCCCTTTCACACATGGGTTATAAGTTTCAGTCCTGGTATCTGTGCTTGATTTTTATCAGTTTTGTGTAGATTTTATGTTTCATATTTTAAATCCAAATCCCACATTGTAAAGTTTGTGTACAATTTGTCCTGAAGCTTTGTGTTTGGCTGCACCTGCGTAAGCTGCTACAAATAGAATAAAGAATTTCATAGCCTGTATCTATCATTTAGATGCATGGAAAAATGGGCTTTGCACACAATGGGTTTGGAGCTGACTGGGAACAATGGAAAAAAAAAACATTAGCTGTGGTTGTAAAGTCCTCCCTCCCCTTTTTTTTTTTACCATCTTGTGAAAGGTTTCTGAAACTCGATAATAAAAAGCAGTTGGTATAAATTATTCTTTGTGTCACATTTTTAGAAGGAAGAACATACTTTGAACTGTAAAATGTATCCTTAAACTGGAGAATGTATCCTTCATTCTGGTTCTTAAGCAGCCCTTAAAAAACCCATTGGCCTGAAGCCTATGCCTCAGGTACGTGCCCATTTTATAGTTTCAGAAGGCAAAAAGAAAGTTTGATATGTTGGTAGAAACAGGCTCTATTGGCTTCAATTGATGCTTTGTACAGTCAAGGACATCAGAGTTATGTAACTCATAAGTTATGATCCTGAGTGTTGGGGCCAGGTTAATCTAGCCTCTGTATCTCCCCACCACCACCCCCTTTTAAAAATAAGGTAACAGCAAATCAGTATTAGAACCATGTCTGCATAGAACCTGTTAAAATGCTCTGTTTTCATTAAATGTTAAGTTAAAGATTCTCTGTCTCCGTTAAGTTGAATATTTGAGATTGGGGGAAGCAGTGATGACAATGTTTTATAGAAAAGTAAGACTCAGGCTGGTATGAGAAAATCAGGTAAAACTGTGAAGAGGATGTTGTGTCGTTCTTCTTTCCATCTTCTAGTACCTTCTTTTCATTCCCAGAGTAGATATTTTTAGAACACACTTTAATTTTAGGGAAAAGAGACATTAGTTGTACATTTTACATCTGTAAAAGAACAAACGGAAAACTGAAAGCTAAAATTTAAAAATGTATTATGCCATCCCTGAGCCTAAACACAGTACTTGTAGTTTATTTCTAGGTCTACCAGAACCTGAGTGGGGGGCGGGAGGGGGGAGTGGGACGTGTCCTGGCATTAATCAAGGCCTGTGAGGTTTAAATTACTGCCCTGTCCTCTCTACCTCCATTGTACAAAAAATATTTTACAACCAGCCTGGGCAAGATTCAACAGCATAGTAGTTTTGTATCCAAGGTTACTTCCCCATAACCACTTTAAGGGTAAGAAATGCAGTGGCAATATAAAGTTTGTAGCCTTTCCAATAAAGGTTTATAAAACATTAGAGTTGTTCAGTGTAGTCTTTGTTTTAATTCTACCCAGGTTTTTTGGCCGTAGCGAAAACCATATGGAAGGAGAATCCAACCTTGTTAAGATCTGTTACTGCCCTCAGTTGTGCTCTGCTTCGTAGAGCCACCTGTATACAGAATAAGCTTGCATAGTATCAGCAGCACAAAGGATCTTTTTACCAACTATTGAAGTAACTCCTATGTCATTAAATCTGCCTTTTAAAAAAAGGTGTACAACCAGTCGTTTCCAGTGTATTTACAGAGTTTGCAACCATCACCACTATCTAATTCCAGAACATTTTCATCACCCCAGGAAAAAAAAACCCAAATCCATTAGCATTCACTCCCTAGCCCCTAGTACAGTGACTAGTTTCATTTTGTATAAAATGGAGTCATAACATCATGTGGCCTTTCGTAAGCTGTTCATTTAATATGTTTTCAAGGTTTATCCCTGTCATAGTATGGAACAGTACTTCATTTTTACTGTCAAGTAGTCTATTGTGTAGCTAGCAATACCCTGTGTTTGTTTACCCATCCATCAGTTGATGGTCATTTGGGGGTTTTTCCATTTTAATAATGCTGCTATGAACATTCATGTATAAATTTATGTATGGACATATTTACAATTTTTTTAGATCTATACCAGGAGTGGGTCACATGGTGTTTAATCTTTTGAAAAACTTCCAAACTTTTCCAAAAAGACTGCACCATTTTACAGTCCTACCAGCAGTGTATGAGATTTCAATTTTTCCACTTTAACTGCCAACGTTTGTTAGTACCTGTCATCCTAGTGGGTAATGAAGTGGTTTTTATTTGCATTTCCCCAATGTCTCATGATGTTAGCCACCTTTTCATGTGCTTACTGGCTATTTGTATATCTTTGGAGAAATGTATTCAAATCCTTTGCCACCCCATACTTTATTCAGATTTTCTTATTTTTTATCTTTTTCTGTTCCAGGATATCCTATTATACTTAGTCATACCTGCAAAGGCTCCTCTTTGCTGTGACAGTCCTCAGATTTGTTTGGTTTTGATGACCTACACAATTTTGAGGAATACTGGTCAGCTATTTTGCAGAATGTCCCTTGGTTATATGTATAAAGTTTCCCACAGTCCTAGTTACAGAAATGAATCAGCATAATGTTGAAAAACGTGTCTCCTCTGATCATAACACTTCTGACACTACCTGAAGTTAGTGCAGACCCCACAGGTTAAGGGCTCAGTCCCACAAGACTGCCCCGACTTCAGGTGTCCGATCACAAGTCCCAGGTTGTCACCTACGCTTCTAACCAACTGCTGATCAGTGGTGCCCACAACCCCCTCCTCAGGTTTGATAACTTGCAAGAATGGCTCACAGAACTCAGGAAAACACTACTTACTAGATTGCCAGTTTATCATAAAGGATGCAACTCAGGAACACCCAAAGGGAGGAGATGCATAGAGCAAGGGATGTGGAGTTTCCATCCCTCTGAGCACATCCCTCTCCCAGCACCTTGATGTGTTCACCAATCTGAAGCTCTTCTGGACCCTGTCCTAATTTAGGGTTTCTAGGGAGGTTCCATTATTACATAGGCACAACTGATTAAATTCATCAGCCATTTGTGGGTTTTTGGGTTTTTTGTCTCATTAAACTTTCATTTTAATGGGTCTCAAAATTCAGTGACAGATTTTGGTCAAGTTGTTTCCATTAAAAAGTACTGATTTTAAAAACTAATAACCTAAAACTGCCACACACACAACAAATGGTTCACAAAACATTGTCCTGGTTCTACAATGCATTGTTGGCATTAACCTTGTCTTTTACTGTTAAATTTAAATGGTGTCATCAAAGCAGTGGACAAGAAGGTAGCTGGAGCTGACAAGGTCGCCAACTATGCCCAGAAAGCTCAGAAGGCTACATGAGTATTATCCCCCATACCTGCCACCCCAGTCTTAATCAGCGGTGGACAAATGGTTTTAGAACTGTTTGTGTCCTTGACCGTTTGTGATTGAACTTCATCTCAGCCTCTCTTACCTCCCGGAGGTCAGGACCGTGAGGCTGAAAGTTCCAGCCCTCTAATCACACAGTTGGTTCCTCTGGTGACCAGCTTCCATCCTTCGAGATTCATCTCATTAGCATAAAATCAGGTATGGTTGAAAGGGTCTTGTTATGAATAAAAAAGACACTCCTCCCACCCCTACCAGGAAATTCCAAGGTTTTTTTTTTTTTAAGATTTTATTTATTTATTTGACAGAAAGCGAGAGAGGGAACACAAAGCAGGGGGAGTGGGAGAGGGAGAAGCAGACTTCCCGCCGAGCAGGGAGCCCGATGTGGGACTCGATCCCAGGACTCTGGGATCATGACCTGAGCCGAAGGCAGACGCTTAATGACTGAGCCACCCAGGCGCCCAAGAAATTCCAAGGGTTTTAAGAGCTCTGTGCTGGGAACCAGGAATAAAAACCAAATGTGTATTTCTTACTCTATCACAATATCACAGTGTCATCTCCTGAAACAACACAACACACTGCTGCATGTCAAAACTCTGTCAAGGCACAGGTATAAAACTTGTTTCTAACAGGCCTACTTGCACGAGTCAGTCTGGTGTTATTTCAGTGAAACACTGAGAAAGCTTGCTCCCACCATCTGCCTACCATTTGCTTAGTTGTTGAATTCCACGATGATACATGTATGGTGATAGTAGAATTGTAAACCCATGCCGACATGGGAACTAGTGTACAGTGCTAAGAATATTGTTTTTAATTTTTTAATTTTTTAATTTTTTAATTTATTTTTTTTAAAGATTTTATTTATTTATTTGACAGAGAGAGACATAGCGAGAGCAGGAACACAAGCAGGGGGAGTGGGAGAGGGAGAAGCAGGCTCCCCGCTGAGCAGGGAGCCCGATGCGGGACTCGATCCCAGGACCCCGGGATCACGACCTGAGCCGAAGGCAGATGCTTAACGACTGAGCCACCCAGGCGCCCTGTTTTTAATTTTTTTTAAAGATTTCATTTATTTGAGAGAGAGAAAGAGAGAGAGCACATGAGAGGGGGGAGGGTCAGAGGGAGAAGCAGACTCCCTGCTGAGCAGGGAGCCCGATGCGGGACTCCATCCCGGGACTCCAGGATCATGACCTCAGCCGAAGGCAGTCGCTTAACCAACTGAGCCACCCAGGCGCCCAAGAATTGTTTCTTTTAATTTTACAGATTTCATTTCCAAAGTGACAGGTTAGTAACCTCATCCCCTTCAGGGAGATTGTTAATATGTTGTAATATTATAATGTTAGATTGTGTTGTTTGTTCTGCATTTCATCCTAGGAACCACCCCCACCACTTCTAAATGATGTTTTTAAATCTGCATACATTGAAGGTCACTGTGCTGTGAAGTTCACTGTGTTTTGGCAAATGCATTGTGTCATGTATCTACTGTTACAGTGTCATATGGAACAGTTTCACCACGCTAAAAAAGTCCTATTCAACCTCCCTCTTCCCCCTCCTGAACCCATGGCAACCTCTTCTTACTGTTTCCCACTTTCCCAGAATTTCATATAATTAGAGTGGTATAGTTAGTATGTAGCCTTTTCAGACTGGTTTTCACTTAGCAATATGCATTTAAGATTCATCTATATCTTTTTGTGGCTTGATAACTCATTTCTTTTTTTTTTTTTTAGATTTTATTTATTTATTTGATGGAGAGAGACACAGCGAGAGAGAGAACAGGAGCAGGGGGAGTGGGAAGGGGAGAAGCAGGCTTCCTGCCAAGCAGGGAGCCCGATGCAGGACTCGATCCCAGGACCCTGAGATCATGACCTGAGCCGAAGGCAGTTGCTTAACCAACTGAGCCACCCAGGCGCCCCTTGATAACTCATTTCTTGTCGTCGCTGAGTAAGATTCTATTGTATGGATGTACCACAGTTTATCTTTTTTTTTTTTAAGATTTTATTTGAGAGAGAGAACAAGTGGAGGGGAGAGGCAGAGGGTGAGGAACAACATGGGGTGCAAAAAAAAAACATGGGGTGCGATCCCAGGACCCTGAAATCATGACCCGAGCCAAAGGCAGGCGCTTAACTGACTGAGCCACCCAGGTGCCCCCCCAGTTTATCTTTTATCAAGATCTTTGATTTGCAAGATGTTTTTTGCCATTTCATGGGTTGTCTTCTCTTCCTTGATAGTGTCCTTTGAAGCACAAAGATTCTTAATTTTTAAGTCCAATTTATCTATTTTTTTCTTTTGTTACTTGTGCTTTTGGTGTCATATAAAGAATTTTAACTAAAATGTATAACACTGGGGATGGAACCTTCAGTGTTTATTTTGGTACAGTAGCTGCTTTTTTTGCATATAATAATCATCTGGTTCTGGGGAGTAAGAAGGACATTGTAGATCCTACCTGATAGAAAGCCCACACAAAGTTACTGTTAACAGTTGTTTCAA